TTGAGATGGAGGTTTGCTCTGTTGCCTGGACTGGAGAGCAGTGGCGTGATCTCGGCTCACTACAACCTCTGCCTCCCAGGTTCAAGTGATTCTCCCGCTTCAGCCTCCTGAGTAGCTGGGATTACAGGTGCCCGTCACCATGCCTGGCTAATTTTTTTGTATTTTTAGTAGAGAGGGGGTTTCACTGTGTTGGCCAGGCTGGTTCTGAACTCCTGACCTCAAGTGGTCTGCCCGCCTCAGCCTCCCAAAATGCTGGGATTACAAGCGTGAGCCACCGTACCCGGCCAAGGTCAGATCTTTTAAAATAGCCCATCCTAAAGAGTGAAGAAATCAGTGGCTGAAAAAATGAAATGATTCTGTTGCATCAGGATGATCAGGGCACAATCTCAGGAAGTTGGAAGTCACACTGGGAAAATCTACAAAAGTAGTCATGGATGGAACCAGCTTTATTGTCATTCTAATCACTATACCAGGGCAGTGAATTACTCTGATGTAAATATGATGTATTTTTACTACACTAGAAATAAAGTGACCTGTAGGAACCTTAGTAAAAAGAAGAATAAGAACAAATTAGGGAACATTTGAGGTGGCAATCCATACACAGAAACTCTGAACCAAAGAAAAACTTATTGGGATATCTGAGGACAAGGAAGATAGTTCTGTATGCCAGCTAACCAGGAGAATCATCATCTCTAATCCCCCTCTCTGTGCACCTTGAGATGAGAGGCCAGCCCAAGACTGAACAAATATTAAGAAGCCCAAGTAATTTACCGGACCTAAGCAAGAACACTGCCTTCTTTGGATATCTTGTTTTCTTGTGTACCTTGCTGCATAGTCTGCTTTCAGCTAAAATTAATAAATCAGAGTGAAATGGAAAACCTTTTGACCAAACACAGAAAGTACATCAAATACTGACATCAGTACTGCATGATTGGCTTGCTAGGGCTGTAATAAAATAGCACAGACTGGGTTACTTAAACAGCAAATACTTATTTCCTCTCAATTGTGGAGGCTGGAAGTCCAATATCGAGGTGCCGGCAGGGTTGGTATCCTCTGAGGACTCTCTCCTTGGCTTGCAGATGGCCACACTCTTGCTGTGTCTTCACATGGTCGGCCCACTGTGTATGTACACTCCTGGTGTCTTTGGGTGTGTTCAAATATCCTCTTCTTTCACTTATTTCTTTAATTTTTTTTTGAGACAAGGTCTTATTCTGTCACCCAGGCTGGAGCACAGTGGCATGATCATAGCTCACTGCAACCTCAAACTCCTAGGTTCAAGCGATCCTCCCACCTCAGCCTCCCAAGTAGCTGGGACTATAAGCACGTGCCACCACACCTGGCTAATTTTTTTTTTTCTTTTTTGAGATGGAGTTTTGCTTTTGTTGCCCAGGCTGGAGTGCAATGGCGTGATCTCCGCTCACGGCAACCTCCACCTCCCAGGTTCAAGCGATTCTCCTGCCTCAGCCTCCCAAGTAGCTGGGATTACAGGCACCTGCTACCATGCCTGGCTAATTTTTGTATTTTTTAGTAGAGATGGAGTTCCACCATGTTGGCCAGGCTGGTCTTGAACTCCTGACCTCGTGATCCACCCAACCTCAGCCTCCCAAAGTGCTGGGATTACAGGCATGAGCCACATTACCTGCCTGAATTTCCTCACAGGACATCAGTCAGATTGAATTAAGGCTCCTAATGTCCTCATTTCAACTTAATTTCCTCTGATAAGGTTCTATCTCTAAATAGACTCCCATTCTGAAGTACTGTAGGTTACGGCTTCAACATGAATTTGAGGCAACACAATTCAGCCCATAACAGGCACCTCATCCCTCAGCTGTCAGAAAATAAGAGCAGATGCTCATGCTCCCTCTGTTTTTCTGCAAAAGCATTCTCCAGTAGTCTCTGGCACCTAGAAAAATGTTCACTAAACACTAATTGTATGAATGAATAAATGAGTAAATGAATGTGTGAATGGATTATATCATAAGTGTAATAGGTAGCCGGGCGCAGTGGCTCACGCCTGTAATCCCAGCACTTTGGGAGGTGGAGGCGGGTGGATCACCTGAGGTTGGGAGTTCGAGACCAGCCTGACCAACATGGAGAAACCCCGTCTCCACTAAAAATACAAAATTGGCCGGGCGTGGTGGCACATGCCTATAATCCCAGCTACTAGGGAGGCTGAGGCAGGAGAATCGCTTGAACCTGGGAGGC